GAGATAGATTGTAGAGTTGCGTATATCAGAGTGATATGATGAGTCTGATACCCAATTTGAAAGTGAGGTTAACGAAGCATGCTGAATCAAAAAGGATGTGTTCCAAGCAAGCTTTTATACAACGGACTACACAGCGTTGAGTAAAACTCGGTTAGAAGAGAGGTGGCAAGATAGGGTACAATATGATTTTGGGTGCGGCTCAACTGTGAGTTCAGTTCAGTTGCTTGGCTGTGTCGAGCTACTCAAACCGTGGGTTTAGTAGTTCCTCAAACGTTCAAGTCGCCCTGAGTGACAGGCAAGCGTTGGGAGAACTTCTTTCGTCCTTGTACTCTGAGATGGCCAATGAGGGGCGACTTTCCTAGCACTGATAGGAAGAAGCAAATTCGTTTGGAATGTTTACCGCACCTGAGAATTCTATTTTGAGAGGCAAACTTTAAATTCACCGAGGATGATACCGCTTAAAACGTTCTTTGAACGGTTGGCAGCTATATGCGCTTTGAAATCATTGATCGTTAAACTTGTGTTTTGTAAATCGGAGGGACCCAGCACTAACTGCGTCAAAATCGCACTATCCAATCTATTGACAATCTGTATATAAATATGTTAATATAAATATAGATACACTTGCCTTCGGGGAACAACAATTGCGAATTCCGATTGTGTATCTCCTTTTGGATTTAATTTCGGAAGCCTTAGAGTAACTTGGTAGTCTCCTCTAACGACTTTGCCCATGGCACTAGCGACTACTCGTGAATATAACCTTTTGAGACAGAAACGATGGTCTGAGGACTTTTATCACTACAAGTGAATTAAGAACAACAGTACCGAGGATACCTCGGTCGACTTTAGCTCACACCAATTTTCAGTGCTCTTGACGTTAAACAAAACCATGGATAAAACTAACGTTTAGCCATAAGTTCAGTTTACATTTCATGATACACTCCTGGGTACACAAGGTAAGCTGCCAGTTTCGGTACTCCGTGACAGAAACCCGCACCGGATTTGCGCAGTAAAGCCAAATATCGCTCTTCTCAAGAGAACCAAACCAAGCTGCCCGATCTCTGAAAAATGATTATCGCTATTGGGGTTAGTAAACCAACAGCTGCCTCAATTTTTTGGTCCGCTTTCGTTTGGAGTGGTTGCGTTCTAACTAATCATCCAATGGCAACTTTTCCAGAACAAAGTGCTTCCTTGGAAGAAGACCTCGTTATTCAGAGGTCGAACCGAGAAGACCACTGTATATGATTTTAAATACAGCGAAATCACATTAGGTCACTCACTGAGGTTGATAATCTTGAGTTGTGGGCTTCAAATTGTCCGAAATCTGTGACAATCAAAGTGGAAATGAGTGTTTAAAGCGCTGGTGTATGTGTGAGAACACTATTTTTTGCCATGAATCAGTTCAGCTACGAACTGGATACTTTACACTATAAAATGGCTTTCCAAGGAATTGGACTCAGAATACTACTTGGTTCATTTAACAACTACTCAGTTAGAGCTCCGATTAAATCCGTATCGTATCGTATCGTTCAGTTGTAACGCCCTTCCGGTGCCTAGCTGCAATGCTACCCGAAGGAAGCAAGAGGGCTGGGATACTGGCAGGACCCCAAACCTAGGCAAGGGAAGTCGAGGGGCAGAGGTCCAGTGAGGTCCAGTTCAAACCACGGCCCTTCCGGTCAGTAAATTCGCGCTCTAACCACTTGAGCCATCTCGCCCCCTGCTCCGATTAAAACTCGTGGGTTGAAAGCATTTTGGCCTTTTTTGACAGCTGGTCACTTGGTCATTCGTCCTAACATGTACAGGCAATGATGAAAACGGAAAGCAGTCCATTTAAGGTCGGGTCACCAAAAGCCTTGTTAACCTCACGTGTGCCGGCAGTTGGAAAGACTTGGATGAAGTTCAGCACCGGAAAAAAGGTCGGGGTCCACCGAATAGTGTTCAACCGACAAATCTTTTTTGCGTTTATAGGTGAACTTGATCAATACGACTAACAGTATGAGTAGGAGTAGTTGTGTAGTTGGTATCTTTCTTACGAAGCTTTTACCCCCGCTCTAAATGTCCCAGGACCGGACTGTTTTGTCCTGCTGATTTTTCCGTTCTGATAATGCCAGTGAAGATAAATCACACGATTTCCGACACTGTCACCGACAGTCATTGAGCCGTAGATCAGCTGTAGAGAAAATCGATAATTGCTAGAGTCCGCTGATAGGCAGGTGGAATTATCAGCTGACTGGTCGGTTGGAGTATGCAGACAGAATGTGAGTGATATAGGCAGGAATGTAGAAATGATTCAGGAAAAGATGATTTGAATGTGTTCAGACACCTTCCTTTGGATTTGGAGGCTTTTGTTTTTTCAGGGCCAAATCCACATTCTCGTATCGAGCGATTGATATACTGACAAAAGATGTCTGTGTAGAGGTTGATTAATCGCGCATCAGCTGGCACTAAGCCTACTGACGTTCTGGAGAGTTTTCTTCGGCCTCGACCCTTGGAAGAAATGCGTTTGTTTGCTCAGAAGCGGACAGTACCGGTGAATCTCGACCGCCCTAGTAACTGCTCAGTATGCCAACTAAAGGTCTTCTGAATGGCAGGAGGACACCTACCAACTTAATGCGAATTCGGTTGACCGTATGCTCTGCGCCCTACCGCCCCAATTTTATGCTTCTGGAGTTCATTCAGACAAATGGGACTGCCTGACGAACGTCCGTTGGTGCACTCGGCACTAGGCAAACAAATCGATGAATGTGCGTGCACACTGGTTGCCATATGACTCAATTATCTTAAAGACTAACCAGTTAGTGGATGGCTTTTTTTTGGTTGTCTTGTTGACTGCGTTCTCGTTGAAAAGAAAAAATAGCTGAAAACTCGGCGTCTTGAGTCACGCCGATAGGCTTATGCTACATACGCAGCTAAATATGTCCACCGGTCTGGCAAGTTTAGACCACATCGAGGGACAATACCAATTTGTGGCTTCGTACGTCGGATGTGAGGTTGACCATGATGAATTTGTGTGCAGAATCTCACCAATTATCGGGTATCAGTGCAGTCAGTGAATAACAAGAATATGTCCAACAAGCAAGCATATCGGCCAGTAAAGTCTTTTAGTCCGTCGAGTTCCCTATTGATCGTAAATACACTAATGAGTAATCGACATATAGCCAATGAACACACTACTTACAACCCAAGACGTTGCACCCGAGGTTGTAGAGCGTTTTGAGTCTCCTACAAGACCTTGACAACCGTTGTCTTGGATGTGTGAAAGGGAATACTAAAAGTGTGAGTACGCTCTATGCCAATGGCCTTCCAAGATGAGACCAACGTGATCCTCCTGTTAAAGCTTATAGACACTTCAAAATCTGGCCGCTATTCGATTTCCTCGGCGGCCTGGCTGTCGACTGCCTGAATGGGTGGTCAAAGATGTAGGGACATCGAAATGATTATGGTAGGATATCACCAAGTCCACTCCTAATTCTCTTTTAATATTTTCTTCACAGAAGCATAATTGTTGAACATTGGTGTTAGGCGGTGGATGACACTGATGATTAATTTATTCCGATAAGCCAGGATTGAAATTTAATAAATTCATCTGGATAGCAACATTTTTAGCCTACTAATGTTGTCCTAAGGTATCTCTTGTACTCATACACATAACCCAGAAGACATTTTACATTCTTATAAGAGTGACTTTTTCGAAAAAGCAAAGAGGATCGTGTATAAAACCATCTCCAGTTGTTGTTATCGGTTCCATTAATTGTTCCGCGTAAGATTTGTACTTAAGAACCCCAGTTAAGCGCTCAAACTACTAGCCGGAAGGTCGCGGGTTTGCGCACTGCTGATCAATCTCAATGAGGATGAAACATCTGTACAGCATAGATTCGCTTCATTAAAATTCTGCAGTCGCCACATTCATTTGTTATTTTAAATCCGGGAGAATAGCTGTCACGTGTTTCTTGTTGAGAGTCTCTTGAAATCTATTGAAGCCAACTGGTGTCTCCTTTATCCCGCTCAGATGATTGATATTATCATAGCAAGGCCAGACCCTCTGGGTGGTTCGGGTATACTAAGCAAATTATCTCTGTACAGCAATCACAGTGTCCTAAATTTGACGTTCTCAGTCAGTTACACGGATCATTCCATTTTTAAGAGAGGAATCAGTTGAAAGTTTCCTCTTTGTAATGTGCTACTCATAAAGTTGCTACAGATTCTTAGTGGTGATTTCGTCCTGCCAGTGAAGCTTATTTAGGGTGAAAATCCGAGAACCTCTTCATTGCTCTGTCCTCCTTGAGGAGATTCATCAGCAGTTCGCATCCCAGGACACTCAAAATGTTTCGGACGCGCTACCTTCCGGTCAGATGTAAACGTTTGGCCACAAGCAGCTGATCAGCAACTTTCACTACAGATTCAACATCGAAACACATGACTAATCCAACTAAGAAAGCCAAGACGATCACAGATGATTGGATATCTACCTTTAGAGGTTTTCCTTTCGAAGGGGATGTGAGCGCAGACTTTGTGACTCACCGTCCACATCACACAGTTCGGAATACTATTCTGGTCTCAAAATGTGATCTACGAATATTCAGCTGCTATGCCTATATCTTAAAGATAAGCCAGCAGTCCACGTCCCAAGCACGGTTGTTTCCTCTTTCGCCCATCGTTTTACGTACATAGGGCGCTAGACGCGGCAGTCATGCAAGGGAATGAAGGAGTATAACCCCTTTTTGCCCAAAAACATATCAAGAAGGCTGAATTACTTGCCCACTTGTCACTCACCTGGCTGATACGCCAAGAACGCTTGCAGAATACTGTGCCAAGTGACTATGTACCTACCCGGATCAGCTCATCATCCGTGTCTTGCTACAGCTGAACCAACAGCTATTTGCTCACGCAAACTCAGAAGGCGTTCATACAAGCATTTAATTTTTCATGGTCAATGTAACTGCCGACCAGCTGATCATGACCTAAACGGTTTACACCAGTAAAATCTGCTTTTTCATTGTTTTCATTGTATCGATTGCCCATTTGTAATTTTATAATCATCAGTTGCGTACTGACCAGAAGAAGAGATTGCAAAAACATTAATTTTCTTGAATTTTCCAATGACTCTGTGGAACTTGATTGTCTCTTCTGCAGTCGTTTTGTGGAGGACCCCAACGATGTCCACTTTCGATTCTGAAAAATTTCATTCCCCCACATCATCAACACCACCATCTTCACAAACTAGTTTGTGAAACAATGTTCCCGCCAGACACTACTCGTAAGTAGCATTCTAAGCTGGCACAAGTGCCAGCTACGGAGTTTTTCTTTCGAACAGAGACCCTCAACCCCCCTGTGTCAATTCCTAAGTGGTCAACGAAATTTGCCAACCAAGCGCATTCCCTGATTAACCCTGAGTACCTGACCAAATCACTCGCACTCTAATTGCTTACCCCGAATGACCAATCAGCTGATAATTCTACGTGCTTATCATCAGTTATCGATCTTCTCCATAACTGTCAAATAGAACGATTAAATTTGGCGCCCCGCATACGGTTGAGCCATTGTTAGTGTCAGTATCGGAACTTATGTGATTAACTGGGATTGCCCACTAGCCGTTAAGGAGAATCCCGAATATTCGTGCTTTCTTTAGTGTAATAGTGGGAAAGGTATACAAATATGCAAATAGATTGTGCTTTATCAGATGAGGCTTTGCAGTTGATGCATCAATCAAGAGCTCTGGAAATCACCGAAAATTGGTGTGGCAGTAACCTAACCATGGATTTGTGCGTTATCGGAATAGATTATTTTTGGAAATCTGCGAGATTAGTTTCTTCCAGATTGAGGTTCATCGATTGCACGCAATTCGCTGAAGGGAACACAAGAGGGGAAATATGTAATCTCATTTTTTCTGATCCACCAGTTTGTTGGAAAGTAGAAGTGATCTATAGAGTAATCGAGCTCGCCTTAATAAGCCTAGCAAATAGTCCTCACAAAAGACAGCAGCGTCAGAACACAAACGCAAGCTATTTGATTGCGAATTAACCACATCGCTGGCAAAACTACCGAGGGTCCAAACTACAAGTCAGGGGGTCATGGGTTCGAGACTCCCCACTGGAGTTTCGTGAGGCACCCACTACAGATGATTCTCCGTAAGGCGGAAACAGCCGCGCATCGATTCGCTTCTTTTCAGCAAAGAATGACCAAACGTACGGAACGAAATCTCTATTACAGCTCCCGAATCTCGTCACACCACTAATAATTCAACATTGTGTAATGATAGGGTCATCTTATTACTTCCGATAACGTAACTCAGTGAAACAAGTAGAGAAGCAATGCGCATCTGTTTCATCCACACTGAGATTCCTTAGCAGTGCGCATCTCCAGAAACTCGCAATATCTCAAGCCCACCACTAATGTGGAATGTCTCCTGAGCAAAGAGCTCCCAGAAGGCAGCTACCCAGTCTTTGTTGGAGGTAGTTATGACTCTCTACTGAAGTTAATTTAAAAATCAGCAATGTCGTTTGTAGCCGTTTGCGAACCACCACAAGGACCAGAGAGAACACAGTGGAGACAGTGTTTCTGGAGCATGCACGTCTATATGAAGCATGCAATGACATGGATAAGATAATTACGGTTGTCGCGTTTCCAACTATGGATTGAGTCAGAGCTGTATGGGCAACAAAAGCCTGCTCGATTTATCTTCTTGTAAGGGGCGTTGATTGAACGATTGGAGTGAATAGCATACTGTCCTTTTACTCAGGTGAATGGGGAGTCATTTCATTTCTTCGTTCCTGTAACGTGCATGCTCCACGATGAGGTTGACTCATCGTCCAAAAGCACCACTTTACCAAGTGTGGACGATGAGCGTAGTGGTCGAATCCTTCGGAAGAAAACACTGTTCAGCCAACCCTTGTATTTGTTTCATTTATACATCACACATGCGAGTGGTGAACGACTCAGTTGCGGAGAAGTACACTCCTCACCCACTGCCAGTCTGGTCTCGAGATGGAAGTTTCAGTTATCGCAGCACTGGTAAGCTCGATGTGCCAGATGTGTCCCAATTCGGCATGCTGCTCAGACTATTCAAGAGTGGACTCATTTTCCAGCTCCGCTGGCGCACTCGTGATTTATCCAACCACTCACTGAGAGTTAATTAGTGAACACTCATTTGCATACTGTGTTGTGCAAATAGGGGATCTAATTAGGACTCGACTACGTCTCCGCCCAACAATTCCCAACCAGATATGAAGCCTCCAGACTTCTTA